GTATTTGATGATTCAAAGTACAACAGATAAATGGGGTATATCAAAATGAAGTAATTATTTTTACCTGGAAAGAAAGGTTAATTGACTTTTAGGGGAAAGGGTCAAAAACATCCACCCGCTGCTCTTTCCAAGAAAGATGAGGGCTTCTGCTCCCATAAAGATTTACTGCCTCAGATAGCTTGTATAGGATGGCTGTGCATTAGAATCAACTCAATGGCAGTGGGTTTGGTTTATGTCTGCCCTTAAATACAAGCTTTCCAGATAAAGACTTGTTTGCTTTTGTTTTATTTTTGCTTTCATCACAAGTTTTTAGCAGTATTATTTTATCAGTTATTTTGCTTGCAAATAAGGTTATAAGTGATGATACGCCATTTTAAAAGTCCGCAAATCTACTCACTTCATGATGTAGGCAGAAGTTATGTGATAGATGTGTTTACAAGTATGATTAAAAAAAAAGAATAGCTGTAGAGACTGCCTGTGTACAAAAAAACAAAAACAAAAAACAAGCACCTCATGGAATTAAGTTTCTTGATTTAGCAGTTTTAGGGTCATAGTTTTAATGGGACCAACCAAACTAAAGCCGTTTATGTTGAGTTGATTCTGACTCATAGCAACCCTGTTAAGATAAGAGTAGAACTGCCCCATATTGTTTCCAAGATTATAAATGTTTTGGGAAGCAGACTGCCACATCTTTCAACCTCAAAGTGCCTTGGTAAATTTGAACTGCTGACCTTAAAGGGTAGTAGTCAGGTACTTAGTCACTGTGCCACCAGGATTCCTTTTCATAGGATATCAGTTAATTGGTCTAATAACACATTTTTTGCTTCTGTTTTATCCTATTATAATACATACTGCCTGGGGTCTTAAAAGCTTCCAAGAACCCATCCAAGACACAATAATCTGACTGTCAATGGTACTTTTAATATTCTTCTCCAAGACCATGACTCAAATGCATCAATTCTTCTATAGTCTTCTTCATTCACTGTATAGCTTTCACATGCATATGATACTATTGGGTCAGGTGCACTTTAGTCCTCAAACTGACATCTTTGCTCTTGAAAATTTTAAAGAAATTTTCTGCATCAGATTTGCATAATGCATTATGTCATTTGATATCCTGACTGCTGCTTCATGAGTGTTGATGGTGGATCCAAGCAAAATGAAGTCTTTGACAACTTCCATTTTTTTCCATTTATATGGATGTTGTCAGTTGGTCCAGTTGCGAAGATTTTTGTTTCCTTTCGTTGAGATACAATCTGTACTGGAGGTTGTGGTCTTTGTTCTTCATCAGTAAATATTTTAAATCCTCTTGCTTTCAGCAAGCAAAGTTGTATCATGTGCATATGTTGTTGTTGTGAAGTGCTGTCGAGTCGATTCCGACCCATAGCGACCCTGTATAGGGTTTTCGAGGAGCAGCTGGTGAGCTTGAACCACCAACCTTGCAGTTCAAATGGCTCTGCAGTCTGGCGCATTAACCCACAGCACCACACCAGGACAAGATGGTTAATGAATCTTCCAGTTCTGATGCCATGTTCTTCATTTAATCCAGTTTCTCAAATTATTTGTTCAGCATACAGATTGATTAAGTATAGTGAAAGAATATAACCCTGGCTCTTAACCTTTCCTGATTTTAAACCAATCGGTGCCTCCATGTTCTCTTAGAACAAGTGCCTCTTGATCTATATACAAGTTACTCATGAACACAACCAAGTGTTCTGGAATACTCATTCTTTGCAGTGTTATCCATTGCTTGTCATGATCCACAGAGTTGAAAGCCTTTGTATAGTAGTAAAGCACAGGTAAACATCTTTTTGCTATTCTCTCCTTTCAGCCAAGATTTATTTAACGTCAGCAGTAATAGCCCTTGTTCCGAGTCCAAGTCTGAATCCAACTCAGACCTCTGGCAGTTCCCTATCAGTGTATTGTTGCAGCCATTATTGAATTCTCTCTAGCAGAATTTTCTTGCATGTGATAGTAATGATATTGTCTGATGATTTCCTCATTCTGTTAGGTCACCTTTCCTTGCATTAGGCACAATTTGGATCTCTTCTAACCAGTTGTCTGGGGAGCTGATTTCCAAATGTCTTGACTTAAATGATGAAGTGCCTCTAGTGATGCATCCGTTTGTTGAAAGATTTTAATTTATATTTGATCAATTCCTGGAACCTTGTTCTTACCCAATGCTTCAGTGCACTTTGAATTTCTTCCTTCAGTACCATTGGAACTTAATCATGTGCTACCTCTTGAAATAACCTCATATTTTCAATAACCTCACATGCATGCAAAAGCTGACAGTGAATAAGGAAGACCGTAGAACTGATGCATTTGAGTTATGGTGTTGGAGGAGAATATTGAAAGTGCCATGGGCTGCCAAAAGAACCAACAGGCCTGTATTGGAAGAAGTGCAGCCAGAGTGCGTCTTGGTGGCCAGGATGGCCAGACTTTGTCTTTCATACTTGGGACATATTGTCAGGAGGGAGTAGTCACTGGAGAAGGATATCATGTTTGGTAAGGTGGAGGGTCAGAGAAAAAGAGGAAGACCCCCAGTGAGATGGATTGGAAAAGTGGCAGCATCACTGGGTTCAAGTGTGGCAACAATTGTGAGGTTGGCCCAGGATCGGGCAGTATTTCGTTCTGTTGTGCATAGGGTCGCTATGAGTCGGTACCGACTCGATGGCACCTAACAGCCACAACTATAGGCAAAATACTGAACGATGCAGAAAGCATCAAAAGAAGATAGAAGGAATACAGTCTTCTTGGTACCAAACAGAAAGGTCGATGTTTAGTTATTTCAAGAGGTTGTTGTTGTTACCAGACATGATATCCTTCTCCAGTGACTGGTCCTTCCTGACAATATGTCTGAAGTATGAGAGATGAAGGTTGGCCATCCTGGCCTCCAAGGAGCACTCTGGCTTTACTTCTTCCAACACAGATCTGTTGGTTCTTTTGGCAGCCCATGGCACTTTCAATATTCCCTTCAGTTTTGCCCATAGAGTCCATCAATATTGCAAGTTGAGACTTGAATTTTTACTTAAGTTTTTTCAGCTTGAGAAATGCTGAGCATGTTCTTCCATTTAGATTTTCTAACTATGTTGTTGTTGTTAAGTGCCATCGAGTTGGGTCCGACCCATAGCGACCCTGTACAGGGTTTCCGAGGGTGTAAATCTTTACGGGAGTAGAAAGCCTCATCTTTCTCCCGCGGAGCGGCTGGTAGTTTCGAACCGCTGACCTTAAGGTTCGCAGCCCGATTCGTAACCACTACGCTACCAGAGCTCCTTATAGGCCTTTACATATATCATTACGATACTTGACTTTTTCTTCTCAAGTTGCCCTTTGAAATTTTCTGTTCAGCTTTTTTACCTTTCATTTCATCCATTTGCTTTAGCATCTGTATGCTGGAGATTGAGTTGTACGGTCTCTTCTGACATGCTTTTGGTCTTTTCCTTCTTTCTTGTCTTACTGACCTTTTGCTTTCTTCCTGTATGATGTTCTTAATGTCATCCCACAACTCCTGTAGTCTTAAGTCATTAGTTTCTAAGCCTTATGTGGTGGTGGTGATGGTGGTTGTGTGCCACCAAGTTGTTTATGACTCATCATGACCCTGTACGGGTCTTTACAGGCTGTAAATCTTTACAGGAGCAGAAACCTTCATCTTTCTCCCACCAAGCGACTGGTAGATTGGAACTTTTGACCTTAAAGTTATCAGCCCAGCTCATAATCCACTATACTCCCAGAGCTTCTTAATGGTTGTTGTTGTTAGGTGCCATCGAGTTGGTACTGACTCATAGCAACCATATGCACAGCAGAATGAAACACTGCCCGGTCCTGGGCCAACCTCACAATTGTTGCCACACTTGAGCCCACTGATGCTGCCACTTTGCCAATCTATTGCACTGGGGTCTTCCTCTTTTGTTCTGACCCTCCATCTTACCAAACATGATATCTGGTCCTTCCTGACAATATGTCCAAAGTATGAGAGATGAAGTCAGGCCATCCTGGCCTCCAAGGAGCACTCTGGCTACACTTCTTCCAACACAGATCTGTTTGTTCTTTTGGCAGCCCATGGTACTTCCAACACCATAACTCGAAAGTATCAATTCTTTTACGATCTTCCTTATTTACTGTCCAGCTTTCACATGCATATGCGGTTATTGAAAATACCATGGCTTGCGTTGTTGTTGTTGTTGTTAACCTTCGAGTCGGTTCTGACCCATAGCGACCCTGTACTGGGTTTCCGAGGGTGTAAGTCTTTACGGGAGTAGAAAGCCTCATCTTTCTCCCACGGAGCAGCTGGTAGTTTCGAACCGCTGACCTTAAGGTTCGCAGCCCAATTCATAACCACTACGCTACCAGCTTGCGTTAGGCGCACCTTAATAACAGGAAAATAAACTAAAATTTTTGGAAAGCAAATATTACGTATGAGCAGTAAGCTTAGTTGTTAAGAGTATGACTTTGAAGTTCAAATTTTGTCTCTTAACTGATGAGTAATCTAAGAAACGATACAACTTCAGTTTCTCAATCTGTCAGATATAGAAGAAAACCCTTTCTTGTAGGAACATTGGAAGGAATAAGAGATAAAATTAATTGTGCTACACCAGTCAGTACAGTTGTTTGGCTGTTGTTGTTGTCTGATGCAGTCGAGTTGGTTCCGGTTCATAGCTACTGTACAGCATCATGGAACAAATGCCTGGTCCTGCACATTCTCCCATTGTTATGTTTGAACTCACTGCTATAGCCACATGTCAGTCCATCTTATTGAGGGTCTTCCACTTTTGGGCTGACCTGCAGTTGTCTGGCTCTTGTTGATCTTTTAATTTATACATAGCTGTTGACAAGATAAACTGGAATATCTCTTCTAAATTCTGCCAATTGGAAATTTAAAAATACATAAAATTTCATGTGAGAGTAAAATTCTATGTTACCTTATTGCTCTTTTAATAGAAAAACTGACTAATTTCTCACACTTACTATTGTCTTCATTTTTTTAAATCTTTTTATAGGTGATTACTGGAGGTCACTATGATGTAGATTGTCGGTTAGAAGATCCTGATGGTAATGTGTTATACAAAGAGATGAAGAAACAATATGATAGTTTTACCTTCACAGCCTCCAAAAATGGGACATACAAATTTTGCTTCAGCAATGAATTTTCTACGTTCACGCATAAAACTGTGTATTTTGATTTTCAAGTTGGAGAAGACCCACCTTTGTTTCCTAGTGAGAACCGAGTCAGTGCTCTTACCCAGGTAAATATGAAGTCAGCAATATAATATTGGAATGTTTAAAGGAGCAAAAGCATATTTTAATATTATACATTAACTCGTTGGTGAACATAGAATTTTGACACTTTAATAATCTTTAAAGCCTACTTTAATTCTTATAGTAGATTAAGCATTTTACTAAGAACTTTAGGTTTTTATACAGAAAACCAGTGCTAAAGGACTGTGTGAACTTCTAAGTATAAACGGTGGCTGTTGTTGGCTGCTTTGTCGGTTCTGACTCATAGCAACCCTGTGTATGATTTCCAAAAGCAGCTTGTGGGTTTGAATTGCTGCCCTTTTGGTTCACAGTCCAGTGCTTATCCTACAGCTCCATACCAGGGCTTGTAAAAAAGTAAAAATTCTTAAAACAAGAGGATCCTTAAGGGAGACACATCAATAGGAAAAGGAAATTTAGGAAAGCTAAGGAATCACAAGGAGCTCTGGTAGTGTAGTGGTTACAAATCAGACTGCAAGCCGCAAGGTCAGCAGTTCGAAACTACCAGCTGCTCCATGGGAGAAAGATGAAGCTTTCTGCTCCCGCAAAGATTTACAGCCTCAGAAACCCCTATGGGTCGGAATCGACTCGATGACACTTAACAACAACAAGGAATCACAGTTCATAACAACAAATGTAACTTGCAAGGTTGGTTTGAACCGCAAATTCTGTGGTCAGGCTCACCAGCCGCTCCTTGGAAACCCTATGCAAGGTCGCTATGAGTTGGAACTGACTTGATGGCACATAACAGCAGCAATGTAACTTCATAGGGAGGAGAAGCACCATCATCATCAGGCAGAACTTAATTCTATGAAGTAGTGATCAGACATACCTGCACTCGCCACCCTTTTTAGCAATTGTGACCCTAGTCACCCCTGCCATGGCATATTCGACTTCCCTGCTGGCTTTGGGAATTTGTTGCCACACAGAATTCGCAGACCATACTTACAGTTCAGTGGTTTACTAAAGAAGCATCTAGACAAAGTCTGAAAGGCTCACCAAAAGTACAGAGTATATCCCCACATCTTTCTCAAGTCCTCTTTGTCATACAAGCAAGTAGGGCTTTCTCTCTGCCATGCACAACTGCTGAGGACAGGTTCCTCTCAGCTGGCCTTGGCCCTCTTTGGAATAGTGTTGAAAAACTCTTTAGATTTTGCTTTGCCAATAAATGTACAGAGGCACCTCACTCTGCCACTAAGCCAGCCACCTACCCGAAAGTGCTCAGCTCTGTCAGTCCGTGGGTTGGCAAACTTATTGCAGCTGACTCACTCCATGAGCTGGGAAGTTCATCACCATCTCATCCTGGTTTCCTAGTTCTAACTGTTGCCACTATTTCACAACTCTTGCTGCTGCTTCTTACTGTCTGGTGCCTTCTCTCTGTTTCTTGGGTCTAGGAGGTTCTCAGTGCAAGATTGTTGTTGTTAAGTGCCATTGAGTTGGTTCTGAGCTGTAGTGAACCCTGTATAGTGTTTTCAAAGAGTGGCTGGTAGGTTTGAACCGCTGACCTTGAGGTTTAAACTGACCTTGTGGTCCCGTGCATTATCCTGCAGTGCCACACCAGGACTCCAGTGCAGTATGCTGAGTCCAAAAGATGAACTCCACCTCGGGTTCTGCTCCTTTATGGTTCTGAGATCCGTTTTTAAGCCTCTGGTATTTGCTCATTTTTAGCCTAGCAGGATGACAAAATTGAGCAGTCCCCTCACAAGGGTTCCATACACCTTATTTACATAGGCCACCAACTCGACAACACTTAGCAACAACAATCCCTGCAAGGGTTCCATAGCACTATTAGCAAGCTGTCCAGTCTTGGTGGGCCACAAACACCATATTTGCATCAACCCACCCAATCATTTTTGGAGAGTCACAAAGGGCCATTGAAGAACCATATAGAGTTAATTCACTACCTTAGAAGGTTGGTATAACTAGAAGCAAAAATTATGCCTTAATTAATACATATGTAAATATATCAAAGAGTTGTGGTGTTGCAAGATAAATCAATGGACCACAAGGTCTGCTTGAACTATAAGCTTGGTTTGAACCACGAGGTCGGTGGTTCAAACTCACTCACTAGCCACTCCTTGGAAATCCTATACAAGGTCGCTATGAGTCAGAACTTACCGTCAGCATATAACAACAACACTCTTTATACCTGTACTTAATTTAATGTATTAATATAACTCAAGCTACTATTTTAATAATTCTGCTTTAACTGAAAATAGAATTTTGAAGATTAGTGTTATCTAACAAAAATAGTTAAGGAAGCTAAATTTGGTTTTAATTTGTAGAAGATCTTAATGAGAGAAAAGATAGAAAAAAAATTTAAAGTCAATGGACAGACACTGTTCAGATGATGAGAAGGGCTATTTTATTTCTAATTTAAATACAATATAAGCCTACATTGTATTTAAAAGATTCAGTAAGACATCAAAAATAATTTCTTGCCACCTACTTCTTAAAATCTTAAACTAATATCTTATTTTTCCAGTTTCTCTGTAATCTCTTGGCCATTGTCTTTTGACAAGAGCCAAGGTAGTTTTTGAGAACGCACAAGCGTCTTATTCTTAAGCCTATCGTAAACGTTGCTATTGTTAAATGTCATCAAATCAGTTCTTACTCAGAGTTTCCAAGGAAAGGCTGGTGAGTTTGAACCACCGATGTTGCAGTTAACAGTTCAGTGTTTGTTCTATAGTACTACAGCAGTATTAGGAAAATGTATGTAAATGCTCTTATTTAAGAACTGTTGTCTTTATTAAAATTCTGTTGAAAGGCCCTGCGCTTTGTAAAATGTTTTCTTTTTCTCTGAGGCCATTGTTTAAAACTTAGCCTGTATCTGTCTTCATGAATTATAACTTACATCAGAAAGTAAAAACCAGTTGATTCCATTGATGCACATGATCCCTCCTGCATCAGAGTAGAACTGCTTGTTCTAGGAACCTAAGTGGGTAAATGTAGGAAATGAATGGTAATAAAGCAGCTATTACCACTTAGCCGCCATTATTTTCATCACATTTTTTTAATCCTTTCTCAGTCTTACTTTCTACTTTCAGAAAGCTAGTAAGTCTCTCATATAGCTGATTGGTTGTGTGCCATTGAGTTGGTTCCAATTCATAGCGAACCTGAATAGGATTTCCTGGGCTATAAATCTTTACAACAGAAAACCACATCTTTCTCCTGAGGAGCAACCAGTAGATTTGAACTGCTGACCTTTCAGTTAGTAGCCCAGCTCATAATCTACTATGCTACCAGGGCTCCCTCATATAGTAGGGATACATATACATTAGCTGTTCATACTTTAAAATTGAAAAATTACTACCTGGTAAATACAAAATAAGTGATGGCATTCTAAATGATGGCTCTAGAATAGGTAATGATCAGCAGTCACTGCTAAAATCATTATATGAAAGACTGATGGGAAACTAATAGGTGTATCTGAATCTATTGATCATTCAAAAAAGAAATATAATCAGATACTATGTATCTCTTGATACTATGTAATAAGAAATACACAGTATTGCTTATGAGATGTTCCTGCCCAGAACATTAAACTTGAATCCCATCAAGCCCTTGTATATATCAGTTTACAAGAAATACAGTGATGGTGGAACACCATGCAGTCAGCAAAATCCAAGTAATGGAAAATATAGGACAGATGATCTACTTTCTTCAACAAATAGATGGCAAGGGGTAAAATGGAAGAGAACCTAAAGATTGAATAAATAATTATTGTTCATCCCAAGGATTATATTGACTGTTTGAAATCTGATTTGAAAACAACTTTTGAGATGTGGGGAAATGTGAGTGCTAACTATATTCGTTGATTTTGTTGTTGTTAAATGCCATGGAGTTGATTCTGACTCATAGCAACTATGTATAGGGTTTCTGAGGAGCAGCAGGTGGATTTAAACTGCTGACCTTGTGGTTCAAACTGACATTGCAGTCAAGTGCTAATCCTATAGCACCCACCAGGACTCAAGTTGATTTTAAGGAACTATTTTTAATTCTTCTAGGTGTAGTGTGGTACTGGGTTACATTTTTTTTTTTTTTTTTAGTGCTATCTTTTAGAGATAAATATTTAGTAAGCAAGTATTTGTAGCTGAAATGATGCAATGTCTGGAATTTGCTTCAAAATAATTGCTTTAGGAAGGAAAGTAGATGAGAAATAGATGAAACAAGATTTAAAGCAAAAACCAAACCCCTGGTTGTCAAGTCAGTTCTGACTTTTGGTCTTATGTGTTACAGAGTAGAAATGCTCCATAGAGTTTTCTTGGCTGTAATCTTTGTTGTGGTGCTGTAGGATGAAACACTGCATCACAAGGTCGGTTAGAACCATAAGATCAGCAGTTCAGACTCATCAAATGCTTCTTTGAACCCCTATAAAGGGTAATCAGTAGTCGGAACTGACTTGATGGCACGTAACAACAACAATATGCAAATTCAAACTGAAACTGAAGAAAATGGAAACAAGTCTATGAGAGCCAAAATATGACCTTGAATTTATCCCACCTGAATTTAGAGATCAT